TCTCTCTCTCTCTCTCTCTCTCGTGTTAGCTCTTAGTCTCATTGATTTGGCTACCTTAGGGCTGCGTTCCCCGCGCCCACGCAGTAGACAATTTGTAAAGACGTGCAGTTCAGGAAACTCAACACCATTTCTGCGCATCTCCGCAAAACCTTCCAGATTCAGGCGTTGAGATAGCTCAATGCTGCTAGTGGGACTTGGCCCCGGAGTGCCAGGATCATACCGGAAAAAGAAAAGAATACAAAATAGAAAGATTCGTCATTTATTTCCCCCCAAAAGCAAAAAATCGTAATCTACGGACAATAATATCTCTTTAATTAAGGGCCAGATCCCACTAGCCCCTATTGGTCATTTCGGACCGTTGATCTTCGGAATCATGAAAAATGAATAATCCAGGGTAGTGGGATCTGACCCTAATATAGTAATATCTCTGCTGAAATAAAACGACAAATGGGGAACGGATTCCGGGGCCTTGTCCCACTACCGCGGTTCAGTTTATGTTTCGTGTATTTTTCAACGTGGTCACATCGTAGCCGTGGAATCTTCTGGTCGGACGGCCGGGAGCCCTGCATACTTGAAACCAGAACTAAACCTCGACAAGTGGGGCATGGCTCTTGGCCAAGTCCAAACAGCAGCGTTGAGCTACCTCAACGCCTGAATCTGGACGTGTTTGTGGAGATGTGCAGTTCAGGAAACTCAACACCATTTCTGCACACCTCCGCAATAGCGTCCACATTCTGGCGTTGAGGTAGCTCAACGCTGCTAGTGGGACTTGGCCCCCGGGACTTTCTTGGCCTCGCCTGTGCGATAGATGGAGGCATTCGGACACGGACAAGCTGCGCGTCTGTAGTGTAGCAGGCATTCCGGGAAGTTGCGCCTTTGCGCCTCTTTTTTTGTTTTTTTTGTTTTTCTTGTTTTTTTTTCGTTTTTTTTTTAAAATTCAAAAAGCTATATGTTCTTCTCCTCACACTACCTATACCTACCTACCTACCACTACTCCAGTGTAGGCACACGGGGAACGACGTAGCAGCCAGAACCGTCTTCACGATAGAACATGCGGGGGCTGCTCCGGACCTGCGCCATTCACCGTCACCAAATGTGTGTGCAAAATGCCAAAATGACAATGAATTTCTCCTGGAACATAGGAAGATACACTGCCATATTATATTTTGTTTTGTGTCTTTTTCTGCTCTCAGGCGCCACGGAGAGTCGGTTCGGCGTCGCGCGGGGTCGCGCCACGCGGTCGGACGGGCATACTCGTACTACTTGCAGCACGTTGTATTCTAATGTAGATGGGATTGCGGAGAGATTCATCCTCCTGTGGCGCGGCGGTATACATTTAGGAAAGTGCTCGTGTGAGTATGCCCTTTGTTGATTCGTTCATTGATTGATTGTGATGAGAGGCATTTGGGGATTCTGTTCACGTTCAAAATCCCCGCCCCTAAAAAAAATAAAAAAATCCCCGCCCCCCGAAAAAAAAAAAAAAAAAAAAAAAAATCCCCGCCCGGCGGGGCTCGGTCCCCACCCCCCCATTTTCGTTGTTTCGTTGCAGGGGCGTCGCCACACCAGTCTTGAAATGTGCAGATTGAGAATGAACTTCCCGCTAGAACATGACCAGATGCGCCTGCCAAGTTTTTGTCGTTTTCGCATTTCGACAGTGGTGTGGCGAGGCCCTCCACATAGGAGGCTACCACGAAGAGGATGGCGGGCGCCCAAGGACCATGGATTGATTGATGACGAAATCGACGGTCTCTAAATGCCCATCAGTCACTTCGTGGTAGCCTCCTACAACGGAAACGGAAAGGCGCAGGTGGGACCGAGCGCCCTTGCACTTGCAGAGCGCGCGGTAGGGACTGGCAAAGGCGGCGCAGGGGTGCGCCGCGATCGGTCGCCGCGGGGGCCTATCCGCAACACAATCCCCGCCGATATCTGGCCTTCGCTCCGGCGAGGCGCGGGGCGTAAGAAAACACAGCGCGGGAGCGAGGGGAGGCAGGCGGGAGCCAGGGGCGACGGCGCTGTAAGGAGCCAGGCGGACCGCGAGGCGCGGCGGGTTGGAGGGGAGGCAGGCGGGAGCTACCTAGCAAGGTGCACGCACGGCGAAACCAGCCACGTTTTTGAATGAGCGTTGTGGGGTGGCGAACGCAGCGCGAAGTTTTGCGTATGAATGAATTGTCTCCATTTTTTGGGACAGATGCATGTGCGCACCCCGACAAAACTCAACATAAACTCCGGCAGACGCACAGATACGTTCAACCTTTGAGCCAGCTACACTACCTAGCGCACACGAGAGAGAGAGAGAGAGAGAGAGAGAGGAGCGCTCCCGGAGAAGCACAGACTCGTGAGAGAGAGAGAGAGAGAGAGAGAGAGAGAGAGAGAGAGAGGGGCGCTCCCGGAGAAGCACAGACACGTGAGAGAGAGAGCGAGAGAGAGAGAGAGAGAGGTGCGTTCCCGGAGAAGCACAGACACGTGAGAGAGAGAGAGAGAGAGAGAGAGAGAGAGAGAGAGAGAGAGAGAGAGAGAGAGCGGACGGATATGGCGTCGATGGAAATGCGGGAAGCAAACGGTGGAGATTGCTTGTCAGAGACTGCGAGCTCAGGTTTGGCGGCAGCGATGGAAATGACGCGAAAAATGGGTGTCTCGCAAGCAGAGGGAAATGGCGCGAAAAATGACATGTCAGTGGACGTGAGTGGGCGGGAAACACACGAAGAGGGAGGGGTACGTTTTTTTTTTTTTTTTTTGTTTTTTACCTGACCAGATACGTTGAATATGGGTGTTGTGTTGTTGGCGCGCCTTTTGCCTGCCCTCCGAGCCTCGCTCCGCTACTCTCGACATGCACAAAAGACCCAATTCATGGCGGTGTATCTTTCCATGTTTTAGCGGAAGATTCACTCTCGTTTTGCACATTTCGAGAGTAGTGGAGCGAGGCGCCACTTGTGCACACCGCACACGCACGCGGGCACATTGTTGGTCACGTGTATGCATGTTGTACACGTCTTTGGTTGTGCTCTTCCTTTGGGAGAAGAAGGGGTTATCCTCTTGTCCTCCTTCCTCCTTTGATCTCGTCGTTATTCCTACACGTGTGCACCTACGCGTCGTCTTCAACCGAATAAAACGCCCGGTCATTATCGCTGCTGCATCTGGTCTGGAAGTTGCCCCAAATACAGCTATAATGACCGGGCGTTCTATTCGAGTGAAGACGTGTAGGACACGTCTGCTTATCGGACACGTGTCCGGTTGTCCGTTCGTGATGCTAATAGGCAGCAGCATGTCTTTAATTGATTTTTTTCTTCTTCTAATAATTGGATTTAATTGATTCGAAGGATGTGATCTTAGATCGTGCAGCCAACCCCCCCCCCCCCAAAAAAAAAAAAAAAAAAAAAAAATCCAAAAAATCTGAAAAAAACTATGTGTTATGCATAAGGATAAACTAAACAACATTTGCCTCAACTGTACATCCAAATTCTTTACCAAATTGGAAATAAAAATCAAATACTAAAAATAAATAATAATAATGAAAACTAAAAAAAATCAAACGAGAATGAAATTATTGAGTGGGCGAGCACGTTTTTGACACCCCCATCTTTGGCGATTTTTCATTTTGTTTTGGCTGCGACATAATAGACAATCTACAAATAAAGTTTGAAAAAATAATAATCTCTTTCATGCCCCGAAATAAAGGAAAAACAGAAAGTGAAAAGAGAGAAAAAGCAAATTAGTGAGTGGGAAAGCAAGTTTTGACACCACCATCTTTGATAATTTTTCTTTTTTTTTTGGCTGGACAGAATGGCTTCAAAATTAAGAGGGATATACCTTACATCCCAAAGAACTCACAAACAAATTTTCAGAAGAAAATAATAATATTTAGGTGCCAAAATATTTTTTTGCGGGGTCCGAACCCCTTTCCCTTGACGTTCGGGCCCCGTACGGGGACCCGAACGCCCGAACGTTCGGGGGTCAGCTTAGGGGCCTCCGTACGTTCGGCCTGGCAACCCTGAAGTAATCTATATTCTTCTCTCAATCTAGTTCATCTTTCTTGGTAGTACCCATCTATCTCATCCTCTCACTACCTCTTTCTTGGTAGTAAGCATCTATCTCATCCTCTCACTACCTGTCGAGAGTAGTGGAGCGAGGCCCAATGACTGGATTGGATGCGACTCGATACAATTAGCGTACCAGAACCCTTGGTACAGAACCCCTTCCTGGACCAGACTGGACCCTTCTGGCTCACTGGACCAGACTGGGCCCTTCTTCCATACTGGACCAGATTGGACCATTCTGGCTTACTGGACCAAACTGGACCCTGCTGCCTTACTGGATCAAACTGGACCCTTCTGCCTTACTGGACCAGACTGCACCCTTATGCTGGACCCCATATTTCCCGAATTCTAACCAAGACCTATGCTACCTGGACCAGGAATCTATGCTACCTGGTCCAGGAACCTATGCTATCTGGACCAGACTGGACCCTTCTGCCTTACTGGATCCCATATTTCCGGAATTCTAACCAAGAAAAAAAAAAAAAAATCTAACCAAGAAAAGATTGACAACTACCAAAACCCTTCCTTAACCCTCTGACACTACAGTGCTGACGTCTCAGGATTGCATGATCCCTTCGGCCATCCCGGTTTTGAGCTCCAATGTCGAAACGTAGTTCACGGCGCTTGATTATCTCTACTGTTTGAACCTGTTTCAGCTTCTTCTACCTTTAGGTTGCCCTTCTCTTCCACTCATAGAGAGATGGTTAATGGAAGGCCCAAAATTTGGGGGGGTTCGCCGCATCACAACAAGCAATGTCGTTGAAAATTTGCGAACAAACAATTAATGTGATCTTCCAAAGGGAAAACTACCACTTCTGTCTTCACCAGAATAAAACACCTGGTCATTATCACTGCATTTGATGCAGCTTTCAATCCAGATGCGGCAACGACGACCGGCGGGCTTTCTATTCGGGTGAAGACAGTGGTCGCACGGGGCAATAACTTAGAAGCATGAGAATCGGAATACCATGTGTGGATACGAGGGAGCACAGACTCGATGACACATATGACATGGCATCCTTAGAACCAACTATTTTGTTTAACGGGAAACTATGCAGCGGTCACGAAAAGAGTTTGAAATTACACTTTGGGCAACAAACAGTTTCAAATTGCACTTCCAGCAATGTATACAAGCTAGCATTCTGGTCAGGTAGGGTTACGTGGGGGTGCGTTTTGTTCAGGGGAACGGCTAAAGTGTAATTTCAAACTGTTTTTGTGACTGTACTGAAGTTACCCCTTCGTCTAAACTTTAAATCCGTTCAGGGTTGTATGGATACCACTGATATTGTATGGATACCACTGATATTGTCGTTCCCCCTGGACCTAATAGCTGTGAGTATTCAATTCTACTGGTATTCGTAGACCATTTCTCGAAATGGATCGAGGCCTATCCCTGCAAGACGCGACAAGCCGCCGAAATCGCGCGATACGTCAACCGTTTTCTCAGGATGCACCTGGACACCGAGGAGATCCTGACGGACAATGGGGCAGAATTTAGAGGAGAAGTCTTGAGGAATTTAGTCTTACACGGTGTCTCCATCCGCAACACCGCTCTCCACATGTCGCAATCTAACGGATTGGTGGAGAACGCCAATCGGGTGATTAAGACCGCTTTGCGATGCAATATCGCGGCAAATTACACGAGGCCTTGGCCCGATATCGTGGACCATATCCTGGCTATCCACTGGGGGACACCCCACAAATCCACGGGCCTGACCCGCTTCCTGCTACGGACCAATAGCCTACCCTGTGTAGCCCTACCGAGCCTAAAGGATGAGACGGCCCTTCTGCGACGGACCACGAGGGGGACGGTTAGGGATAAGGCCCAACGCCACCTAGAGCTGATGGACAAGGTCCTCCCCCGACTGGCCCGAAAAAGACAACGAGTGACAGAACTGGCCCATGGGAGACAGGTCATGAGTTATGAGGCCCGGAATGGGAACGTTGGGCCTCGGCCCCAATATAAATTAGGGGACATCGTGCAGGTGAGGAAATGTGTTCGCCAAGGCAAGTTAGCGCCACGATTCTTCAGTCGGTTTCTCGTGGTCGAGCTTGGTCCCAGTGGGGTGAACACGGTGCGGCTTGCGCCAGAGGTGTCGGGGAGTCGATCGGCTCGTCCGATCGTTCGACACGTGTCCTACCTCCGTCCTCTCCCCTCTTCCCTTTCTCCTCCATCATCTGCATCGTCCCTCGGCCAAGACGAGGACGACGACTCGCGAGAATCCTCCTTTCTCTCTCAACCATCGTCCTCGACCCCGCCTCCATCGCCATGAGCTTTTCGACGGAACAGGTGATCAGTGAACGTCTAATGGTACCCGGGGGAGCTTTCTCGGCGATCCGACAAGTACGGCATCCTCGGTTGAGTCTAGATCGTCTCCGATTCGCGGCCTTCTTCAATACGGCGGCCATCCACGCGGCGACAGAGTTTCAGTTCGGCCAGTCCGGGGTGGCACGAGTGTTGGCCGAGGTATCAGCCTTTTTGTATCTGTCCCCACCCAACGAGAGCCATGTGCCGATCATTGTCGTCTTTACAGGCAACATCACGACGCTGCATCCTGCACGGCACACCGCCATCCTCCGGCAGCTGCGAGACTGGGCAGCACGCATCACGACTGAGTGGGTGCGACTATTGGCTTGACCGCGCGATCACGCCGTAACAACGAACGACATCAATCTTCAACTTCGGATCTCCTCCATCACGCCAGAAATCACCCTTTCTGTGCTTCGTCCCTTCGCTCGGCCTCAATGAACCGCCACCGCCTCTCTACCTTCAGCCTCTCCTCTGACGTTCCCACGTTTTGGCAATCCGTTGCGGAAGCGTCCCTGTCCTTCACGATCAAGCCATTGGATGTGCCGATTCTAGACGCGGTCAAGTGGATGCAGTGGTGGCAAGCCTACGTGGCGCTCAGTTTTTCCCTCCTCGAGGTCCCCTTCCATTGGGCGGAACCCGCAGACAGGAGTGCGGAGGACGAGATCCCGGATGACGAGGTGGAATTGCTGCTCATCCAAGGGTGGAGAACGGACATGGAGGGAGATTTTTGGGGATCTTGTTCGGGGAAGTGCGCGATGGCCATCTGAGTTCCATTATGGACGAGTTGCTGGTGCTTCTAACCCAAGTACTCGACGACCTGCCATTGGAGATCCTCTCACACTGTGACGAGAGACCAGGGACAGCCTTACTCGCTCGTACCCTGAAGCCGCATCTTCTTTGGTCCACCTATACGGAATTTGAGGAGGGTAGCTACTACTTACCCTCGAGAGGTGCATACCTGAGCATCGACGTCACTGATCTCTCCACGTGGGACCCACTCATCCGGCGCGTTCGTATAGGAGAAACCAGTGAGGAGGCCGAAGAAGAGGAGGAAGAGGAAAGCGAGGAGGGCGGTCACCTTCAGTATACGAAAGGAGATACGACGCCGGAAGAGGAGGAATCGGGGGCCGAGTCAGACGATCCCGATTATCACGAATCGGAGGACGCCGAGTCGGAAGAAGCCAGTTCAGGACGGGCGGAATCGGAGGAAGAAGAAGGTAGATCGGGGGAGTCAAGCGGTCCCGACGAGCTGAGCCGGGAAGAAAGAGAGGCTGTGGCGCAGAGGAAACAGGCAGCAGCAGAAGCAAAGCGGTTGATCGAAGAATCAGGAGGGTCACCACCGCAACTGCTGCAGGGCGATCCGACGCGCAATCCAGAACCGTCGCGGGAAGAAGACGAAAGAGATGGAGACGCCACCGCAGAGGGATCAAGGAGCCGGCGCCGACGAAGAAGTCAATCGCCCTCCCAATCCTCCCTAATTCGACCCGTAGCCCTTCGTTTACGTCGAAATGAGGGCACACGGGCTTCATCCCCAGTCCTTATCCAGTCGTCCCCATGACTACCTCACTTTCCGACAGCTCTCAGGGCGACCCCCGTTCCCCGATGGGTGGCAGTCGTTCCCACTCTCCCTCTTTACCACCACTACGCCACCCGCCTTCTGCTCACCATCTTTCCGCACTCTGCTACTCGCTACCTTGTCACTTCTTTCCCCCTCCACGTCCTTCTTTTTAGCGTGGATTGGCAGGAGTATGATCGTATAGAATTCTATTGCGTCATCGCGGGCACGATCCCCGCATGCGAAGAATATGACAATTTTCGTGCTGCCGCCTCTCTCCCCCATCAACGTCGGCACCCTCATTTTCCTCGCATCCATCGCTCCATTCATTACGTCCTACTCCCTTCCAGTGATGAGAAAATTTACCGCTTTTTGCCTCCTCTACCCCAAGTCTATCCACCACCTCCCCCACCAGTAATTAGATTGCATTTCCCCGACAACATTTTGGATTGAACATACGTATGACACGTCGGATGACTTCCACACTCAGATCCTACGGTAAGTGGCACATGTGAGTTCCACGTCGATCATTGGGTTAATGGATCGACGCACAAAGTGTGTGAGCAAGCGGGAGCTTGCTCAAGATTGGAACATATGTGACGAACCATTTTCTGAATTGCGCGACTTTCTGCGCGAAGCTGCAATGAGACGGGTCGGATGAGTGAGTTGCGGGAAGATGGGTTGGTCGGGCTGATTGCGTGGATGCCCTCGTTTCTTTTTGTTTTCCGTGGAAATGTGTCGGGTCGGTGTCGGGAAAGTCCCGCGCTGACGAATCAATGGGTAACCGCGCCTTAGCGAGCACGATGGACAACGGTTGTCATGGCTTCTTTTTTATTTTGCTGTGAGTACAAGGAATTTGGCGCGATCATCGCACGGGAATATCGTTTTTGAATTTTTAACTGATGTCAAGCCCCCACGGACTCGCGGAATTGTTTTTGGGCTCTTCGGAATTTCCTTCTTGCAATTAGGACTTAGGCTAGGAATTTAGGTCCTCTGAATTTTGTTGAGCCGTGCTTCTCACTCACGCACATCTAGCAGCACTAGGAACTGGACTCTGACTGGATCGCGCCCTTAGTCTTGTGCAACTATCGTTTTTGGCGGGCGCGATTGTAACTGTATCTTTCTTCTTTCTTGGTTTCCTCGTGTTTGCCCGCCTTCTCCTTCTTCCTCGCCTTGCATACTCTGTTCTAATTGGCCTAAGCGCCTGCATGACCGGATCGATGCGTGGAGTGTGGCTACGACCCCCACGCCGCCGCCTGGCCATGCAGACGTAGGCACTTCCTCTCTTCTCCTCCTGACCACTTGGGCTTAATCACGTACCTTTCACGCGGGCATGCATGCTATAAATTTTGCAAGCGCGATTAGTTTGCTCTCTAAGAACCTTGGAGTTAGCGCAATCAGTGAGGGTCGGCTAACGAGTCAGCTTGAGAGGTGAGTCGACGAGAGAGTTGGGCGATCCGACGAGCTGGTGTCGGGTATGCGGGGTTGACGTGCGGGGTCGCGACGGACTGCGGCGCACGGGCGAACCTGGCTTGCATGCTCGAACCAAGCGGGGTGACAACTCTGAGTTGGTGCGAGGCGACGGACTGCCTGCATCGAGAGTGGAGGGAGAGAGAGAGAGAGAGCAGCTGTGAGTGTGGGATGAGGTTCTTTCCTTTGTTTATCTGTATAATTTTGGCTTGTAATACGACCGATTTTGTTGCGGCCTTTTTGGACTTCTCTTTGTAAATCGTCTCAGATTTTCCTTGTCGTTTTTACTTCGTATGTATGCATGAAATGCATGTGAATTCCTTTTTATTAGTGATCTTTTCGGATTTCCAATCTTGTTTTGCGATGCCTGTTTCGTCCCCGTCTACTATCCATTTGCGTGAGCTATACACTCAGATCAGATTGAAAGTACTCATTTTGGATGTTTGGGTTTAATCG